CCCCCCCCCTCATGGAGAGAAGCAATGATTAGTCATACCTAAGGAAGGTAAAGATTTATTGGAATGTGGTAGTTATCGTCCCATAAGTCTGCTAAATGATTAAAAACTTTTCACCTCCATACTATCTAAAAGGATAGAAGTGATATTACCGATTTTAATACATAAGGACCAGACTGGCTTTGTCAGACAAAGACAAACCTAAGACAATATTAGAAAAACACTGCACATTATGAGACATGTCACACAGCAACGACAAGAGGCACTGATATTAAGTTTAGATGCAGAGAAATCATTTGATTCAGTTAGGTGGTCCTTTTCATATAAAGTGCTTTCAAAATTTGGCTTCCACACAACTATAATTAATACATTTGCTGCGCTATACAATGAACCAACAGCCAGAATTAAAATCAATGGAGACTTGACCAATTCATTCAATTTGGAAAGGGGAACAAGATAAGGATGTTGTGCGTCGCCGCTCCTCTTCGCCTTGTTTATAGAACCCATGAGTCAATTGATCAGGCAGAGGTCAGATATAAATGGGGTTACAATGACATCCAGGGAGCAAAAATTGTCTCTATTTGCAGACGATTTATTGATAAGTATAACACAGCCCACACAGACACTCCCTAAACTGATGAAATTGCTGGAGGAGTTTGGTTTACTTTCTGGAAACAAAATCAATATCAACAAAACTCAAGTATTAACATTTAACTATGACCCTCCAACTTCAATTAAAACCAAGTACGGTTGGAACTGGGATACTGATTCTATTAAATATTTGGGAGTATCTCTACCTCGGGACTTCTCGAGACTCTTTGATATAAAATACTGCCCTTTAAATTCCAAAATAAAGTCTGATATACACAGATGGAACGTTATTCCCTTTTTAAGTTTAAAATCCCAGATAGAATCCATCAGAATGAATATACTTCCACGGATGCTGTACTTATTTCAGTGTTTACCAGTCAGAATCCCACCTCAACAGTTCTTAGAATGGGACAGATTAATAGCAAGGTATTTATGGCAGGGAAAAAAGGCCAGAATTAAATTCAAGACGCTGCAATTAAGAAAAGAAAAGGGTGGAATGGGCCTTCCCTGTTTACAGGATTACTACCACGCAGCCCATCTGAGACCTTTAGTCTGTCTGTGTTCACCAACATACACTGCGGCTTGGAAGGAAATAGAAGGCACAACGATAAAAGGAGTCCCAATAACAGCCCGACTCAGTGATCATAAATTACAAGAAGAACACATAACAGGTAGCTTTTTGAAGTCTTGGCAGGATGTAATTAAAAATTACAGATTAGGGGATGCAGCTAAAATTTTGAGGTGGTGTGCCTATGACTCGGACTTCACACCAAATAGAACAGACAATAGATTTAAGTTATGGATTTCAAAAGGATTAACTACCTATTATTCATTTGTCCACAAAGGGACATTTCTGAGTTTTGAAACCTTACAGAAGGATCATGGACTGGGAAAAGATGATTTCTTCAGGTACCTACAGGTGAGACATTATTTTGATAAAAATCTTAAAGGGACGTTGGAAAAAGGCGAGTCAAAGTTCATGGAGGTATTTCTATCATTAATTAAGTCCAGAGCAGATAACAAAATTGTCTCTAAACTGGATAATGCCATTCAAATATCTAAACAAGGTGATACAGAATACATAAAGAAGAAATGGGAAAATGAAAGTAATGATCACACAGGAGAATTGGGAGAAAATATGTCAACTGCAATGGGTCTCGACCAGATCAAACACATGGCGAGAATTCTGCTGGAAAAATATTGCAAGATTTTTTGTTACACCCATTCAGAAACGACACCAGGGCAAGGGGGATGCTTGTTGGAGACTTTGTGGGACTAAGGGAGCCAACTGGTCTTCCACATTTTCTGGGAGTGCCAGGTAATAAGACCCTACTGGGAAGAGATCCACAAACATATTGAAAATGTATTTAATGTAAACATTCCATTCAACTGTGAAACTTTATACTTGGGTAACTTAATGCTTGAAACATGAACCAACAAGGACAAAAAACTGTTGACTATACTGTTGGCAGCCAGTAAAAAATCCGTCACAAGGAAATGGTTAAAGGCAGAACCACCCACAATTGATGAATGGATTGAAATTGTCTACCAGATTTATTTTATGGAAAAAATATATTTTTCTCTCCAAGTCAAAAAAGAACAATTTTACCAGATCTGGACCAAATGGACTGAGTATGTAAAACCAACTAGATCTGACTTTACTTGATTGTACTTGTGAATTATGTGGTCCTGTCCTTTGTTCTTACTGTTTTTTATGGTTTGATGTAGTGCACACACACACACCCCCCCCCAGCTTTGTTCAACTTTTTATTTTTAATATTGTTCTATAAAAAAATAAAAATAAAAATAAAACATTAGAAAGGCAACATGGACAAAATTAATTTGGACTTTTTTGCCCACATTCTTATATATAACCTTAAATGACTAAAGCTGTAATTATGAATGTGATGGAAAATTACCTTTCTAAATAAAGAAATATTTTTTTTTTAAAAAGCCCACATGGACTATGGATGTTTTAAAGTGTGACATGTGTATGAACTGTATATAATACACCGTCTGTCCCTGTCTGTCTGTGTGCAGTATGGAGGGAGGAGAGCTGTTCAACAGGATCCAGGCCAGAGGAGACCAGGCCTTCACTGAAAAGGGTGAGGACGAGTCAGAGGATGGTCGGTGTCCTAAACACACAGCTTCATAAGAATCACAAATCTCAGACAGTTAGACAGGAAAGGACGGAGTAAACAGGTTTGTTTCTTTCAACCAGAGAGCGTTTAGGAAAAGCACAGGAAGCAGCTGTTTACTGCAAACTGTTTCCAGGAGAAACTCAGCTCTTTGAAGAAACTCCTAAATTCAGCCGAGCCACTGAGGCACTTCTCTGAGCAGTGTCAAACCCATCCTTTCTACTTCAGGGCAGTGGAAAAAGGAACTGAAACTTGCGCCAAACGGCTGCTTCAGTGTCGTCGTTGTTGTTGTAAAATACAAGATTTGCTTCTGGTTTAAGAGAATCTGCTTAATTGTTTCCTCCCAGAGGCGTTTGAGATCATGAGGGACATCGGCACAGCCATCCAGTTTCTCCACAACATTGACATCGCGCACAGGGACATCAAGGTACACAGAGATCCAGGTCATGGGACATTTTCTGACTTTTGTTGATTTCAGTGACATCCTCCACTTTTCTTGTCAGCCAGAGAACTTGTTGTACACCAATAAAGATAAAAACGGGGTCCTGAAGCTGACAGACTTTGGCTTTGCTAAGGAGACAACGCTACACAACTCTCTGCAGACCCCCTGTTACACACCGTACTACGTGGGTAAGCAGCTTTGCACTGTGTCCCGCATCCTTTTTTTTGGGGGGGGGGGGGGGGGGGGAGCTCTTTAGTTTAAGGAAACTCATCATATCGTGTGCTTTACATGGATATCCTGGTTGCTCTGAAGATGATCTGAATATGCCTTTAAAGGTCAAATATAATAGCTGAGACCTTTATCTGTCTGCTAATCCACATTTGCTTTGCTCCTCTCTACCTTTATTAAGCTCCTGAGGTTTTGGGCCCAGAGAAGTATGACAAATCATGTGACATGTGGTCTCTGGGGGTCATCATGTACATTCTGTGAGTACTGAGCATGTTTGAGTGTTTCTGTATGATTAATATGATGAATGTTTATAAATGCAAATGTTTATATCTGCAGGTTGTGTGGTTTCCCCCCATTTTACTCCAACACGGGTCAGGCCATTTCTCCAGGCATGAAGAGGAGGATCAGGATGGGCCAGTATGAGTTCCCTACTCCAGAGTGGTCTGAGGTGTCTCAAGAAGGTAAGGTTGTAACAACACCTTCTCTGTAGTGACGCTGTAGGAAAACAAGTGATCATTGTGTCTGTCAGCTGCCAGAGGAAAGCCCTGGATTAATCTTTAGGGATGAGTAGATGTGCAGCAGCAGTTTGGATCAAATGAAAACATTTTCATGAGTTGTTCAGATGGCCAGGCAATAAAGAATTACACTAGTCCTTTGTTTACCCTCGTTTATCGCTGGGGATCTGTATCCTGAAGCCCCGCAATAAAAAATGTGTATATAAATATGTAAAGGTGTTTTAAACCCTCCCCACATTTTTCCAATATTCCAAAAAAAATGTTACTAAACTCTCTAAAAGAGCACAGAATGTCATGATTTCAGCTCCCTGCCTCCACTGCTCTTTGCCATCTGTAGCGTTCTTGGCCACGCCCACTTCTTCGCTCTGCACTTTGCACTGCACTGAGCACTTTGATAACAGTCTATCTGTTTTAAATTGTGCTCTATAAATAAATATGACTTGACTTGACTTGACTTGCACGAGAACAGCTGATCAGCTGCAAGAGGAAGCTTATCCTGCAGTATGGACTGCACAAAGGTGCAGGAGGTGCTAAATAATTTAAACTAATTTATTTTAAATAAAAATTCCATGCTGATCCATCAATCTGCCAGTTGTGAGTCATGTCCAATCTTGTCATGTTCATGATAAACGAACCACAAAGTAGCAAGAGAATACTATACAAGAGTCCAACCTAGAAGTGGGTAATGCATGGGCCGACTTTTCAGATGTTTTTCATTTGAGTGATATTGCGCAGGTGGAGGAAGGCGGTCCTGGAAACATTGTTGACGCGGGAGTTAAATATCCTGATCAAAAATAACGCCAAGATTCTTTACATTAGAGCTGAAGGTCAAATGAATGCCATCCAGAGGAAGTGAAAAGTAGCGAAGCATGATCTTCAGATCAGTGGTGTAGTGTACGTTTTTGTTGTGGTACCGTGGTAAAGTTAACTTTACTTTGGACGTTGGACACCGCTGAAGCCACGGAACATGAATGTCCAGCGTCCAGCGTAAAATTAACTTTACCGCGGTCGGTCCGTATACTGTGCTTGGAGACCAAAGTACACCGGTTAGTATAATGTAATCGTCAATTATTTTTAAGCATATTGAACATTTTCAAATTTCTCTGATGTTTATATTTGAATAAACGAACAACAAACTTTGTACAACAGTTGGCTTTGTATTAAAACATGTTATAGATTTTATAAAACAGTATCAAAGCAAAACATGTTCAAGTATTAAGTAGTAAGTACAGAATTGTACAATAATTTGCTGGATAAGCAAATGTAATAAACAAACACTGCAAACCGATAGATTGTTACGGAAGCGTTTAACTGCAGTTTAACATATCAATGACACGTGCCTAATGACATGTCATGTATCACTGAGCACTTTTAAGTGGGCATACTAAAATTCTTCAGCTTTTCTAGTGGGTATACTCCGTATACCCGCGTATCGCGTAGACTACACCACTGCTTCAGATGCTCACGTCCAAATTGTCGATGTGCTTTTCAGTAATTTAATGATATTTAGCTCGATGAGTCGTGTTTAAACTAACTCTTCTGTGCTCATTTCTGGATAAGACAACCTTCCTCTGCTGCAGATCCAACAGTTTCAGCATCAACACAGTTTAGAAGAAGACTATGACGAGTGAAGTGCCCCTCATGCACAAAGACTGACACTTATGGTCTGTTTGATAACACAGTTTGTGTAATAATTAATGAGTCAAGTGAACAATAACTGCTTGTGGAAGTCCAGAAGCTGTTCAGCCTTTGAGGTGGAGAAGAACCACTTTCACATTATGTAAATGTGTCATGGTGACAGAGTAAATAAGTATATCTGTATATCTTTAGCTGTGCTATACTTCTCCACAGGCATCTTTAAATGTAGACTTTAATAAAATTACATTGAAACCCATTTGTCAAAGAACCTTGTCTGACATACCAACTGTTTTGTCAAACGTTTTGGCACCAGCGTGGACATCATTTTTTGGTGCAAAGGCAGCGCGGAGAACAGGAAACCAGCCGGCTGCTCTGAATGACTCTGCAGGTTTGCTTGGTGACCTAGTAAATGGGACGAGTTCTCAGTCATTTAAAACCTCAGTGAGGTTTTTGGTCAAACACGATTATGCATCAAACAACACCGTGTTCTGATGACTAAACAATCTGAGCTGTGCACGCCTGCATTAAGTGGAGTTATATAAGGGTATTACCGTGTGACCTACTGTATGGACCCTCGTTGGAGCTGAGCTGAAGACTCTGAGGTGCAGTTGTTGTTTTTTTTTTATCTCAGATGGTACTCAAAGTGACCAGCCTGCATCGTGTCTATGATTGACACACCTCACTGCTGCAGAATCGTTTTAGTTTTTTTCTGCAGAAGACAGGACTCTGAGTTGGAAATCTGAGGCCTACAGGGTAAAGCTGAACTGTGAGGCTTCAGTCTCTTGCTGTGCCTTTTTGTTGCTCGCACACACCTTCAGCTATAAAGATCTGGCTCTGTTAGGTCGTCAGTAATTATAAGCTTCACTCACAAAGTGGAGTGGACGCAAGGAAGTTAAATGAACAAGAGAAATAAAACAAAAACACAATCTCCACCGCTCTGACCAGATGAGGCTGGGTTTACTGGATAACTGCAAACTCCAGGGTGGAAAGCAAGCAGCAGTGGGTGTGTTAAAATGTTAAAAGAACTGATCTACAGTTGATGAAGGCAGATGAATGAGATTTTTTTAGTTTTTGTAATAACGCTGAATGTATTCCTCAGGGACACTTCTGGGCCTTCAGCTTGGTTCTGGTTCAGTGTCCACCTTCACCTGACTGGTGATGACAGATCACCTAAAGTGAGAGGCAGAGGGTCTTTCTTTGAGCTCTGAAGTGGGTGGGATGCTGTGTTCAGGTGTATGACTGAGGTCCTAAGTGAGAGGTGGTTTTAGCTGCAGTCTAAGTACACTGTATTTTTTGCCGTATAAGTCGCACCTTTTTGCATAAATTTGCAAGTCCTGCAACTTATACACTGAAGTGACTAATAGATGTTTTCCCCCATATTTATAACCCAATATTTGGCTGAGATCTGACGATTCCATTCATTCCAACATTTTTCAGTCAGGTCATCTGGACAATTTCTTTTTTTTTTTTTGTGCTGAAACGTTTCGCCTTCGGTCCGGAAGGCTTCATCAGTCAAGGAAACACAACAAAACTGATTCTTCCCCCAACAGCTTACTCCAAAGTGGAACAAACCAGTTCTGCTTGTGATAAGATGGTCTCTTTGGTACGCCCCCTCCTCCTCCTGGACGTTGTTGTTTTCAACCAGTGGTTATCTTGTTACATTTTGAAGAAATGCACAGCGAGTCCTCCCTCTGCACGCTCCCGCTTTCACGACTTCATTTCTGAAACGCAGCTGATTTGACCATCAAAGTGCGTTTATTAAGGAAAAGCTCAATTGAGACACTCCTTTTACTATAATTTCGAGCAAACAAATATATTTTTTTAAGTGTTAATCTTGTTAAATTCTTGTTACAGTCTTCCCGTGCACGTTCCCACGGCTGCCATTTGCCAGCCAATCATTTTTTGGCACAACACCGGCCCACATTTCTGGGTGGTCAGCGGTGACGCGCAATAGATGCGACGTATACGGCAAAGTGACTTATTTATGTTTTCCCCACTTTTTTAGACATTTTTGGACTGATGTGACTTATACAGCGGTGCGACGTGTACGGCGGCAAGTACGGTAGACTAGCCAGATAAACCCCTCTCAGTGGAGGCAACATTTCACTCCTCTTCTGCTACTAATGTTATTATCTGCATGATGTGTTCTCTCACAGCTAAAGATTTGATCCAACAGCTGCTGAAAACTGATCCTAATGAGAGAATGACCATCACTCAGTTTATGAACCACCCCTGGATCAATGTGAGTGCCTGTGTGTGGAAACAGTCTGGATTTCTTTGCCCTGTTCCTCCCCGTTTCTCACCACCTTTATTTGGATGTGTGTGTGTTTCCACTCTGTAGCAGTCCATGGTGGTTCCCTCCACTCCACTCCACACCACCAGAGTCCTGAATGAAGAGAGGGCGCTGTGGGAGGACGTGAAGGTGAGGAAGCGCAACACTGACCCCTTGTGGTCACACACTGTCATTACAACCTGTTACTGACCTGCTTCAGTGACCTTGGGCCTGTCCTGTGCTCAGCTGCGCAGAGGCTTATTTTAATCCAGTATGAGACTAAATATTTGCACAGAACTTTTTTTTTTTTTGTATTTTTTACAATGTCAGATCCCAGATTGATAAATTCAGAAAGTTGTCATTCAGTCCACAGAAGATATATAAAATAACTTGATGTAAATGCACTTAAATGCCTGTGAACAGATGCTTCAAATCAAAGCAGTCCTTTTTAATACTGATTTAAACTGCCCTCACTAAACGAACCAACCTCATTCAGGTTTGGTTTTTACAGTAAGTATTGATTGCTCACATGCCAGTAGGTGGAAGAAGTAGTTAAAGTCTGTAACATGAGCCTGTTAAACATTTAACACTTAAACACAGAGGAGCTCAGCTGCCCCGTGCCGCTCCCCCAGCTCTAATCTATGCACAGAAATAAGACACTGTTTGCTTTCAACGAGTCATTGTGCGGTTGACTTTACATTTACTGAACCACACGTCTCCATTGTGTAGTGATATATCTCTGTAGTGGTGATGATTAGAATTGCACATTCCTTCACCACAGCTAAACATACAAGTCTGGAGTGATATGCTATGAAAAGACCTTTTTAAAAAAATAAAAATAAAATACATGATACGCACACAATGTGCTGCCAGCTGTTTTGCAACAACAATTTTTCTAGTTGCAAAATAATTAAAGCTTCAAAACTGGAAGTTGCTGTGTTTATGTTTCGGCTGTTAAATTTCCCTCAGCTAAATGAGAAAAGTATCTGACGTGTGCTTCGGCTCCAATTTCTCCTGACTTCAGCTCGGAGAGACGTGACCTTTCTCCCAGCATTCAACAACGGTCTCAGACTAACTTGTCCTTCTGCTACCCTCCTTTGCTTAGTTTCACTGTTCAACTTATTTATTGGGCTGCAGCTCTTTGAAGAACAGTTTAATACACTGGGAAAAAAGTTTTTGTTTTCTTTTCAATTGTTTATAGCTTATAAATATGAATAAAATAATGAAACTATAACGTATATATCAACTTAAATTCTTGAAAAAGTATGACTTTGTCCAAAGCGGTTGATCTATTAGCGCTAGGAATACACAATATTGAATTTTTGGCCGATATGCCGATATGTTAAAACTTATTTGGCCGATAACCGATACCAATATCGATATTGTTTTTCCTAGACCTACTTACAGACACTACATATCTTTCTCTGCTGTGGAATTAAAATACAACATTATTCTGCACGGTCTTTGTCAATTTGACCTGCTACCAAATACAGATGCCAAAAAGGGGGCTGAAAATGATGTAACACTTCAACTTGCATTATGTTTAATGTCAAATTTATTCATGACATTTACTCTCTCTAACACAACGACAACACTCAAACAGTGCAAATTTATAAATTTTCACAAATCTAAACTCAACCTGTTCACAAGCGAATGGTGAAAAGTGCATAAGTAGTAGTGCATTAATGGATATATTAGACAGTATCTTAATTTAAACATTAACTTAAAACAGAAGCATTTTATGTCGGTGAGTTTTGATGGAATGGCCGATGTACGATATTTAACTTTATCACTAATATCATCCGAAACTGATATTGTGCCAATAATATCGTGCATCCCTAATTTGTGCCTTTTTATCTTTTTTATCCTGATGCTAAATAAATAAATTAGCGACAAGATATATATATAGATATATATATATATATATATATATATATATATATAATGTTAAGTTTATTTATATACTGTAGTGCCAAGTCACAATAAAGTTGTCTCCGGGCACTGTACAGGAACATTCGTATACATAGAAAAGCCAATTAGTAAAGGTTGTCTATATAAGGAAGCAGCAGATTGTGTTGAATCTTCACTTTGTCTCAGTCTCACATCCTGAGCAAGCACAGTGGCAACAGTGGAAAGGAAAAACTCCCTTTTAACAGGAAGAAACCTCCAGCAGAGCCAGGCTCAGGACGAGCAGACATCTGTTTAGACTGGCTGGATTTAAGAGGACAGGAAGGAGAAACAAACACAGAATGGCAGGTCCAGATATAGGTTCAGGTGTACCCCCTATTGGAAGAAAGACAAAAACATGTCAAGGATAGAAAAAATAATTACAAATAAAAAACAGGTTGAGCAGAGTAAGTAAATACAGTAGTAGAATAAGGAAATGTGGTCAGTTTGTCCTCCAGCAGTCTAAGCCTATAGCAGCAAAACTAAGGGATAGCTCAAGAAACCTAAGCCAACCTAACTATAGGATTTATCAAAAAGGAAAGACTTAAGCATAAGAAACTGTTCCAGATGACACAGTTTAACCTTTTTTTGTTGTTATCTACCTGGATGATTGAGCTTACAACTCTTTTTGTGATCACCTTTGGCCTTGGTTGTCCTCAGGCTGTTTCTGTGAGTAGCAAGTTGACCATCTGGCCTAAAACATTTGATTTGTTGTACTTGATGATTGATTGTTTTGGATGGGTGTGTTTTGCATGTGTTAGAAACCTACTTTTGAGATTCTAACAGGAGGTTGGCTTGAAACACAGCAGTGAAGGCTACTAATGGGACAGATCTGATTGGCAGACTGTAGACTGAAGAAGTCCTCTGGATGGGGAACGGAACGTTTCTCACTTAAAGGAACTGGTCCAGATGACATGATTTAACCTTTTTTGTTGCCATCTACCTGGATGATTGAGCTTACAAACCTTTTTCTTAAGCTCAGTCTTAAAACTGGACAATGTGTCAGCCTCACAGACAGAAACTGGAAGTTGGTTCCACAAGAGAGGAGCCTGATAACTGAAAGCTCTGCCTCCCATTCTGCTTTTGGAAACTCTAGGAATCACAAGTAAACCTACAGCCTGAGAGCGAAGTGCTCTGGTAGGAAAATATGGAACAATAAGATCTGTGATATAAGATGGAGCTAGGTTGTTGAGAGCTTTGTAGGTTAGAAGTAAGATTTTGAAATCTATTCTGGATTTGTCAGTGGAGAGAAGCTAAAACTGGAGAGATATGATCTATCCTATCAACGCTTATAAAAAAATATACAGTTACTGATTTTTTTATTTTTATTTTAATTTTTTTTATGTAAGCACCCAGAAGGAATGGTTTGATTTGGATGTAATTTGGTCCACGTGCAGGATTAGTTAATTTACCAGGAACTGGCATCAGAGTGTCTGCAGTAAGTGGTGACCAATCATCCATGGTCAGCCTTGAATCTTGGTTCTGGTTTACCATAGATCACCAATGTGTGAAGCTATGGTGGCCCTGAAGGGACAGAATTAATCCTGTCGTTGCTATGGAAGGACACAGTGCCATCGTGGTGTGGAGAGCCCCAGGGTCTGATTTCAGGCCACCTCTAGTAGTAATTTGGGGGACTCCCTATGCCAGTGACATGTTGTATGACTTACCCTCCTGAGACACCCATCCACACATGGCAATGAGGGGGGACACACATCTGACAATGGACCAGCACTGTGCTCTTACTGCCATTATCAGGTTTACCATTGCAGTACATGGTAAATGGAGTGTGCTTATATACTGTAGTGCCTTTCTATCTTATCGAGACACTCAAAGAACTTTACAACAAAATCTGTGCCTCATTTACCCATTCATACAGCACTCTACTAGACCTGTACAAAGCTAACCGAACAAATCATTCTAAAGAGACTAATCAGAGCTTTATCACATCCATACACTGATGGGATGCACATCAGATGCAATGAGGGGTTCAGTGTCTTGCCCAGGGACACTTTGGCATGTGACTGCTGGTGGAATTGATCCACCAACTCTTACACTGGAGGACAACTGCTCTAACCACTCAGCCACAGCCACCCAGTACAGTCACATGACCTTTCAACCACCTCTCCATCTGAGTGCTTCATGTTTTTGGTCGGGAAATTTAATTCCAAATCATCTGACCCATCTGACGCCTCCTCCTATGTCTCATTTTTCGCAGGAGGAGATGACCAGCGCTTTAGCGACCATGCGTGTGGACTACGACCAGGTGAAGATCAAGGACCTCGACACGTCCAGCAACCCTCTACTCAACAAGAGGCGCAAGAAGGCTGCTTCAGGGGCCAAGAGTGGCTCCACGGTCTGCCAAAGCCAGTGAGCTGACGGAGACGCTCAGAGGAACATCCAGGCCGTGATGAAGATGAACCTCTCTGGATAAGAAGAGAGACGTTTATATTTTGATGGATGAAGTTCATCAGGGGGCTGCTCTGAACTTCTGAGAGGCTGCACATGGAAGGAACACCAGTAGCAAATCTGGGCTTTTGTTCTCCTTAGCAGTCAGTAGTAGAAATCAGCTCTGTTCACTGTGAGCTTCATTTGTTTTAATTATTTTTATCTGTGGATTGTTTTTTTAGAGCTAGCCTGTTTATAAGATTTTACTGTGTGCAGACTGAAGTATTTTTTGTGGATCTGAATGCTGGATTTCCTACAAATTCAAAACCCAAATCCTTTGCAGTTTGTGTCCTGATAAGACAGGAAGAGCCCAGCTGGACTGTCTGAAACACACTTGGTTGTTTTGGTCGTCCTAATGTTGCCGCTTCCTCTTCAGGCCTCAGCCACAGTCTCGTCTCTAAGTGTAGCCTTCATACCGAACTGATGAGGAAGACGTTTTCTGAAGCAACAATAAAAAGGCATCACACGCATGTGGACTGAGCTTTTTTTACTTTACTTCTGCAGAACTCCACAAAGTTTTCAATAAATGGAGCAACGTGAGGTGGAGCAGAAAGCTTCACGCAAGACGTAGTTGTGTCATAAAGAGTTGTGACATGTTGTTGGGAAATGTGTGTGTGTGTGTGTGTGTGTGTGTGTGTGTGTGTGTGTGTGTGT